CTGAAGCCAAAAACTCACCATTGAAGGTATTTATTTTACCCTGTCAGTGATGGAGACTATAAGAGTTGCTTTTAACATGGGGGGTTTAATCTCAGATGTGTGCATATGTATGACACAGATCCCTGATTAGAATGTGTTGCATCATTAACTGCCCTTCCAGAAGAGAGAAAGAGGCAGAGGCTGTTAGTTGGACACAAGTGCCCACCAGTGGTGGGAGTTCCTCAGAGGCAAAGGCTTGGTCTTGCAAACCCTGTCGTTGTGCAGTGGATATAAAAACTTCTAACTTCAACTTCTTGAGTTAGTCATGGGTGGGTGTAGAGGCTAGTTAGGTTAGTTTTTAGATGCAAACTGTGAGTTACTAGTCCACTTTATTGCTAATAGAGAATTTCATGTGCAAAATAAAGTATCTGTACATTCAGTGTGGAGCCACTGACATGTCCTAGTCACTGCTGGCAGTTGCCCCCATAATCTAACCCTGCATTTTGCACCACTGTCCTTTACTTAAACACTTTGGATATTATATCTGCAACCATTAAAATTTTCCAATTTTTTTTGAATGAAAGTCCCAGGTTCTCCAAAACTGCCATAGATTGGGTGAACTAAAGGCTGCTGTTATTAGGAGACTTCCAACCTGTCAGTGTCTCCCCCAGATTTTTTTCTGTCTCAGCTTCTCTATAGTAGAGGGGGATGCTATTCACTGTCCAATCGAGGAGCGTGTCAAGGTTACTCTGTCCAGTGATGGAAGTCATAAAATCTTCTAGGACCAGTGCATATTAGTAATATTTCTATTGTGTTCCTTCTTTCTTTTCCTCTTTTGGTGAGGTCTCTTCTTTTTCATCAATAGACATAGGTGAACAAAACCCGGGACTGGCGGTAGATGAGAGGACCCTGTCACTCCCAGGAGTCCAGTCCTCCAACGTCATGTACACTGACTGTCTCAGGGAAGCCAAACCTATCTAAGGACCACAGTCATGATGGGACAGTTCATGTCTTTCCTGCTTGATTTGGGAGGAACACATGCAAATCGATGAACAGATTGGGAATTCAAAATTACTCTGATATACTGGAGTAATGTCTTGATATTAGTAAGACAAAATTCAGGGAAGCATGAAGTACTAGCTAGGAAGGAAAAATCTAGTCCAGTCCCGTGCATGGGGGGATACCAGGGTAAGCGGTAGCACTGTGCTGGACTGCAGGCAGAATAGGGACCAGTTACGAGGTTCTGCTGCCAGAAGGCCAGTGCCATTCAGAGACACTTTTCCATCCCTGGGATCATGTGATTTCTTTGGGGAAGGAAATTTATCTTAATCCCACGCCATCCCACAGCCTCGCTGGCATTGCAGGGGAAGCAAAGAAAGGCAAACAGAGGCCCACAAAACTCGGATTAGTGTATTGTTCCCTGTTGATTAGGACTTAGGCCTGCTTTCTAAAGCTTCCTAGCAGTGATGCAGAAGTGAAGATAAGTATCATACTAATCTTAAAAGCTCTGAAATATATAAAGTTAACCTGGGAAGATTTTATTCCACTTGAAAGCAATTTACCTTGAGGGAAAAATTATTCTCCATCCTTAAAAAATAATCTTAAGTATATGGTACAAACACAAAGATTGCATTACCTTTCCACAAATGTACCGCTCATTATAGAAATGCTCACAGTATTTGTCAATCAGACAAAAAGCATACTTAAAAATTGATGTACAATATTTTTGATTAGGAAATAAAATTGCCTAGAGATTAAAGCCCTGATGTTTAATTTATTCTGTATTTTATCAGCCTTTCCCGTCTCTCTCTCTTTTTTCTCTTTGCATGCTCATGCATTTATAAGTAGAATTCAAATAAAGTAGAAAATTAGATAGCTCTCTTGGCATGACTTGGAAGGGACTACATTAAGGTTACTGACAATTGATGCAGTCTGCTGAAAAAATTACCACCATGTAAGTTTTACGTAGTGCTAGATTGGACAGGTATTACAAGATTTTTTTAATACAAGAACAAATACCTCAAAATTACTATATGGTTCTATATTGTTGTGTGGAATGTGACATACCACCTTTGTTAACTTACCACAAGAGGAGAGGGTGATCATTGCAAAGCATCACAAAAAGAGGTAAGGGTGGACAGGATCAAAAGAGTGCCTGTACCGAGATACAGTCAGAGCAGGGACCACCCCACACACACAGTAAAAGGTCATAAACAGCTGTCATTTAAAACTCAGTAAGAACGACTGCTGTATAACCTTCTTCACAGTCCTGCCTTTGCACTCTTTTTTGTCCGATACAGTTCTCTTGATCTGCACATGCAGACGTGCCTCGTTCTGTGCAGATTTCCGAAAGCTTTATACCAAACTGAAGAGCTGGCAATAAGATAATACACATTTTTAAGAAATACAGACCACTAATTGTGCTATCCTGCCCTACAGGATAGAATTAACTACTTCTGAATTTAATAAGTCTTATCCACAAAGAGAGTAGCTGAATGTGCAGTTGAAACTTGGATTTCCACCTTTCTAATTCACGCACAAGCAGCATGTCTCCTGGCACTAACCCCGGCGTAAGGTTCGTCAGGAGCCAGGAGCTCTACGGCGTCACACAGACAGCCAAAAGAAGGGCAGGTGCACCGGTACATCCAGATACCCTTTACTTTCTTTTTTTCTTCTCTTCATTCTCTTACAAACCCTGTGGAAATACGCAGGGTCTGTTACAAGGGGTTTGAAATCACTGAGCACATTCAGTTGCTCCCGGTATGTACATGCTGAAATGGTCTCCTGCGCACAGACCTTTAAGTTATAGGTGTGCTGTAATGCCGGTGAAAACCAATGATGTCGTATGCAAAGCCTGGGCCACTCCAGGAGGGAAGAACTTTCAGACAAACTCATAAATGTGAAAAAAATGTGAAAAAACACCCCCATGGTGTTTCATAGGTCATACTAAATTTACAGCATTGGGGGGTGTCACCAGATACATACAACAAGTAATGGATGAAGTTGACAGCAACATGAACAAGTCGTTAAGGATTCAGGGGGTTTTGTTGAGGAATTGCTGCTACACAAAGCTTACCACCCTCCTCCGATTTACCGTGGAGTAAGAGAAGGCAGATGGGCAATTACCAAGGAGACGTAATGCCCAAAGTGTATTTTGTGATTACTTGCTTGTATAGCTGTCTTCTAAGAAAAGTAATCTGATCTATTCCTTGCCACAGATGCTACCTAATCAGGACTGTGGTCCAAACAGAAGTGATTTATGTTAACTTTAATTCAGAACTGTCTGTCTTGGCAATCTTGTTAAAAATAAAAAGAATACTCCAAGCAAAAGCCAAATGTGAGCTCTTCTTTGCTATTGGTAGCAGTATGGGCCAGCATGGAATTGCAGACTTTTGTAGTGAGCTCATTTAGATGATCGAGCTTCCAGTTAAATTTAAACTTTATGCAACTATAAACTGGCTCTGTTATTTTGCTGCTCTATGCTATACAAAATGAAAATATTTTTAATTTTTTAATTCAAATAGATGGAATTGTTAAGTGACATAAAGCAGCTGTGGCAAGACAGAGAGCAAGTAAAAGGGCTTGTGAGCATGATTCTTCTAAGACTATTTTAACAAAGAGGACTAGACCGGATAAATGTGGGGCAATTCTAAGATTGCAGTTTGTCACCCTATTTTGTTTGCATCAATTTTAGTATACGTCTGCACTGACCCATGATGCAGTCCTAGTCATAGCAGAGGCTTTCCGTTACCTCCGAAGACAGCGTGTGGATGTCTCCAGGAGAGGTAGTGCTGGAGACTGCCTGGCTAACCCCGCAGTACCGTGGAGCCAAGGAATTGATATAGAAAGAGCGCTGAAAATGGTAAGGACAAACATAGCAGCTAATGAATGTGTGTATTCCACAATAGCAGCAATTCTACTGGGACCAAACTTGCGTCCTACTTCATGTACACAGAGTTTCTATACTCACACAAACAGCTGCAGCTCCTCAGGAAAAAACTTACAACAAACAAAACAAAACTTACTGACAAGCTCCAAAGGATGGCTAGAATATATTCAATAGAGGGCAAGGCATAACAAATTAGCTTTCAAAACTTTGGCTAAAATCACATCCTTCTGGCATTGCTGCAGCAGCTGCCTGATTGTCCACACCAGAGCACCTACACTCTGACTCCCCCCTCACACCCGACCTTCCCGTGAGAGTGAGCATGAGCCATCTTGCAAACCAACACGTACTGGGCATTTGTAAAGGCAGGCCGAGGCTGCAGATATGGCTAACAGAACCAGAATGGGTCCTCAGCAGGCATATTTTAAATCTTGCAGGGGTAAGTGTATTTATGAACTTAAACACACATATGCAATTTTGATAACTTGCCAGGAAAAAGTCAACTCAGATTGATTTAAAGAAGTGGAAAAAATGCTGTCAGTCATAACAATACTGCTGGATTTCAGCACCAGCCTGAACCGTGACACAGTTTAGCCTCAAACCAGTTCTGATTCCTGGCATAACTTTGCACTCAGCCTAATTACCTTCTGCATGGCCTGTTTTTTATCCCTAACAGTAGTTGCTGCATGGGATCGTACCTCACTTGTCTCTAATTTTGTTGATTTTTAACTCTCTTTAGACTGCTGTGTGTGTTAAGGCAAGTTACAACAGTAAAAATTGGGTAACATTTTTGTAGATAGAAGAGACAAGAATATGGTCTGCTTTTGGTTTGGCTTAAATAACTCTAAAACAAACCTCTTAGAATCGATTATATTAATGCAGGCATAGAACTGGAGTGAGTGAGATCGGACTTAACCCATGTTAGGTATAAACAAATCCTAGGTCAGCCTTCCTACACTTAGATTAATTACTGCTTTTCTCAATTACCAAATTGGAAGGATTGTATCAGAAGGTTCTAATGAGTTATAGAAGGTTATGATCAGATTATATCACTCTTAAGAGTGAGAGAGATGGTTCAGTCTCACATTGCCAGAGCTCTTTTTATGCCATTATGTCACTTCCTAACAAATGCCCTAACTGCATGTTCACTAATGCAGCATTACACACTTTTGAAGAGAAGTTAATTAAATTCAGCCTTCACAGTAGTTAAAGAATTTGTACTGTCCATTTGAACTTAATTACAAGCAAAACATAAAACTCCTCCTAAGGAGATATGAGGTATTCATGTTGACAAAGAAAAACAATGCTGCTAAGGGTACTCCCTTATTTGGGACAATTTATTTAAAACACATAATTCATAAGATATACAAAGCCAAACTCATGATTGGCAAAAAATGCACAAGTTTAACTTTCAGCTAGTTGCCTTTATTTTTTCAGCTATTCAAAGTCATCTAAGTGAGATTTATGTACACCTCTAACAAGTGCTACGCAAGATCATCCCACACTGCCTTCCAGACCCCATCCTGTCCATCACACTCTCTTCCTCTAGTCAGACAATGATCTTGAATCTTTGCTTCAGGAGGAAAAAACCCTTTGATTTAACAATGTTTCCTCTCCACTCTGTAGCAACAACTCAGATAAGAAAATTTTTCCCAAGACATCCTTGGAATATCCTGTGCTAGCAGAAGGTTCAGTGCCACACTGTAGACTTCCTGCGGGCAAAAGGGAAAGACAGGCATTACCTGAGTCTGCTTCCCTACAGCCTTGAAAACTGTGCATGTCTGTATTTCTAAAGCTGATTTTGAGACATCAGATCAGTGGCAGACAGTTTACCTGAACAGATCTGGGCAGTTATAAATAGTCCCTCCATTTGTGATTGCCTCCACACGCTGCTACCAGAAGCGTTCTGAGTCCTGGTGAGTCTTCTGCCTCAGTGCAGCCAGATTTTGAAAAGTGCTGAGTTCTCCCACCAACGATAGATTAAATTTGAAGTCAGAAGGTGTGAAGTGCCCAATGCCCATGTCTCAGTACACATCAGGATGAAGCCAGCCTAACAAGCTCTGCAGTCACTGCTCTGCTAAGGTAGCCAGACAGCTTCCAGCAAGTTATATGTCAACTACCCTACAAATACATTTGCTCCATCCACAGTTGGTAAGACCTCTTAGAGGCAAATTTGGCTTTCAAAGCCAAACTGGAGACAGGAATAACTCATGTTCTTCCAGACCCCTGAAATGGTATGAACTATTTTAAGAAAGGTTCAAACCCACTTACGGATAAAAAACATCACGCTCCCTGTATGTCAGTATGAATTTGGCTCACTGAATAATGTGGGATCCAAAGAATTTTGGCTGTTTTATGTAGCCTTGTCCACCATAACAAGTTTGATTCTACCATCTCTAAACCATAAATATCAGATCAGTCACCAGCCCTGAGCAGTTTCCCTTTGACTAGTCTTCCATCAGCTCTTCCTGTAACTTTTACTGCATTTTGCTAAATATTAAAGCTAATTTACCCCTACTGAAGTTTCAGACTGTTACCCCTTCTGCCTGAGATGACAGCTTGTCAGTGTTGATAAGTGATAAATGGAAATATCTCACCCTTTCATACAGGGAAATAAGAAAGATTTTTTCTTTGAAACAAAGTACTTTATACTTCCCCTTAAGATGATTCATGTGAGTAGGTAATGATAATGACTTTCCGTCTATACACCCATCCATCCAGATTGAGACCCAAACTCCATAAGCAGTAGAGACAATTGCCTTTGCTCATTCAGAGAAGCCATTCATTCCCTTCTCCTACACTGGGACTGATCTTGAAATAAAGCACTTCCCGGAATGAGCAATGATACGGGATTCTGGTCCATATCGCAAATCACTCTGTGCCATATTGTGAGGGGTTTAACGGCACCGAATTGTTGCATGTGCCTCGCTGATACACCGTGCTGCATCAGTGAACCTAGCGTGACTAAGCATGGCAGAACCAGCCTGTCTTATATTTAACATATGTGCAGGGCTAATTTCACTTATACTTAAATGTAGCTCACTCTGTGGTAGTGAGTCACCTAACTAACAAAGAATATGTCCAGCTGGAACTGTGAGAACTGGGATTAGTTTTGTTATGAAGAATATAACTGGCTGTGTCAAAAGCACTACAGGTCTCTTCTATAGATAAAAATTTGTACTAGAGCTAGTGGGTTCCTGCAAAATGTAGCAGAGGGAAAAATAAAGTGAATCTTTTATTAAAATGTTTTTTCTGTTTATTCCCCTAAGGTGCAAGTTCAAGGAATGACAGGGAACATCCAGTTCGACACCTATGGGCGGAGAACAAATTACACAATTGATGTGTATGAAATGAAAGCCGCTGGATCACGGAAGGTAAGTTTCAAGATATGCATCCAGATTTCACATCTTCACAAATATTTATTCCAACAAACTAATGAAACTCAAAAATACCACACAGGCACTGTAATAACAGGGCCCTGAGGACACCCCACCTTCTTGCTGTCTTCCCTGTCCCAGGAACCTTGTTCTGTTCTGTTCCTGCACCAAACCACTCGCCCTGCTTAATATCTTCATTGGTTTCCATGTCAACTTCTCCCATAAAACCCTTCTGGAGCTTTTCCACTGCCAAGCCTAATACCTGCGGTCATGGGCCTGTGCTCAGCCCTATCTCCTAAATTCCTCTTCATCTTTCCCTTCCTCTCCGTAACAGGCCTCAGAGCCGTAGTGAAGCCGGAGCCAGTGTATTTCAGAAACCTTCTGAAATTAACAGAAAATAAGTTTGGTTTTAATTAGGATTTGCTGCTCATTCTCTTGTCTCCTAAATAAAGTATAGATCCAAAGTGGGATAGTTGCCTAACTCCCTGTTATAAAAGAAATTTAGGGCAGATTTTCAAAAATAATTAGGTAGACAGGATCTCAGGAGTATTGAGAGAAGAGTCTGTGTGGCCAAGGCACGTAAATCCCCCTGATTTCACCTGGCGATAGGTACCTAATGGGCTTAGTCACCGTTGAGACTCCTTAAACTCTCCTGCACGTATTTGATAACAAAATACCTGTGGACGTGGCCCAACCATTCAGCTCAGTTTACAGTGCAGATAAAGGTGTTACTTCTGTGTTGTGCAGAAATACAAAAACTAGTGTAATAGCATAGCAATGTAGCCACAGCACCATGAAGGTCAGCACAAACCAGCTGACAAATAGTCACCTTGTGCTCACAGAGGGTTTTGTATCCCGTCCTGAAGTTATTGCTACTGTGCCGGCATTGCTAACGATGGCTGTGCATGTTCTCTAAAGCTGGCTCAGCCGTGTCTGCAGGGACCGTATTCGCTGTCCAAACTGCAGCAGAATATGGATAAAAAATACAAAGTTTTACTCAGAGTGCCGTGCGGTTTATTTTCTTGTCTATAATGTATTCTGATGCTGTGGATACATGGGAATTTATTCCACAGGCACTGAGATTATGTGAATTTAGATAGGGAGGATTTAATGTGTATTTTCACTTTGATTTGGCTTTTAGTTATTTGCACGTGGGCTTGAGAACATTGTTTCTTTAAGGACATTAAATTAAAGCTAATGCAGTCCTTTAATGGCAAAAATGTTGCATGAATGAGTGTTACAAAGCCATATGTTTTGACAGTGCCTGTTGCAAGTTCGTGCACCAGAGCCCTTGTAAACCTGTGTGATGAGGTAACAATCTCCATTTCTGTAGGCTGGTTATTGGAATGAATATGAAAGATTTGTTCCGGCATTAGATCAGCTGCCCTCTAATGACACTTCATCTGTGGAGAACAGAACTATAGTAGTCACTACCATCTTGGTAAGTTTTATGTTCTTAGTGTGTTTGTGTTTAGGAAACAAGGCACATGGCTCCCGAGGTGTGTTAGACACCTCCCCGGGAGGCAAATGTTGGATGCTGCGTGACTTCAAGTGACTGAAAAGTTCAGTATCTTCCCTGAGGGCTTGACCCTGCAAACTTCTACGTCTATCAAATAAGTTTACTCGCAGGAAGAGCTCACTGAGCTCAACGTTGTGCTTTGCTGCTTCTCAGACACTTGAATTCAATCAAAAGCCGCATATAAGTGAAGTTACTATGCGTGTATGTAAATGACTGCAGGATCTGGCCTTCCTGCTGTAGGGTCAAATCCTGCACCCCTCACTCAGGTACAGCTCCTGTAAGCTCAAGCCCTGTGGACTGGGTCAGGGTGGCACAGTGAAGCCTGTAGAGAAGTGGAACTGCTCTGGCACTGGGTGAAAAGCGACCTATACCTGTGCAATTCCAAAGGAGTAAAGCTCTTCCTGTGTCTCATAAACAGCAGCACCTGTGTCAGTCCCAATGCCTCTAGCGGATGTGCTCTGTACAGTATTGTTTGTGACTTTTTATGCCTGTTACAGTTCTACTAAGCATGAGCCAATTTTATGCTATCTCCTGAAGCATTGTATTTTATACTCCTATGGATTTAGTGAGATATAATCGCATTTCAGCTAGAATTTTCCAAGAAGGCTAAGGGAATTTAGTGACAGAAATTGCTGCTGAGGGTTTTAGCCTAGCTTCCCTTAGGCTGCTTCGAAAATGTCTCCACCAGGGCACCATTCTAGGCCACTGGGGCCCTAGGAAATGATTTTGATGGTACAGGTGTTGGGCATGTCAGTTCTTTAAATGCTACAACCTGAATTATTACTACAGTTATGCTGTTTGACTGTCTAATCAGGCTTACTCCTGCAAACAAAAGTGTAACTTTGTTAAAGTGGAATAGTCCTGTTGTTTTCAATGGGTCCATACTAGGAATGAAATCAATAGTATGTGTGGCTGTAGCGTTAGCCAAGGTTTTTTAACTGCGAAAGTCTGTCTAATTTCTGTACCAAAGCAGGAAATATTGTGAATACTTGACAGTAATATAAAGGATAATAACAGCTCTCATTTTGTATGTTTTAAAACTGTGTTTTTCATTCATAGACTTTTGATCTTTACTTTTGTTTCAAAGGAATCACCATATGTAATGTATAAGAAAAACCATGAACAACTAGAAGGGAATGAGAGATATGAAGGATATTGTGTAGACTTAGCTTCTGAAATAGCAAAACATGTTGGAATAAAATACAAACTGTCAATTGTTGGAGATGGGAAATATGGAGCTAGGGACCCTGAGACTAAGATATGGAATGGCATGGTGGGTGAACTGGTCTATGGGGTAAGTTTCTCTTAACCTTCATTTTAATGTTCTTTATAAAAAGTTATGCTCAAAGTTAATAAACTGCAAAATAAAGATCGTCTGTTTGAATACCACCTTTAAAATTCTAGGTATTTCTTTATAGTGCTATTTTTATAGTCTACTTTTCTAATCGTTTCATTGCAGGAAAGTGTCACATTTTATTGCTGTTCTCCAAATCAGAGTCCACAAAATGCTGAGAAGTGGCATTGGGCAAATTTCAAATTCTTGTCTACAGCAGAATTTCCAGTTTGCCCTTCAGATGCAGCTTTTGCATTGCCATGTCTCCTTTTTCTCTATCAGCCTTGTAAGTGCTGGGAGGGTTCCCCTCCCATTAAAGGTCTGATCCTATGATGCTGGCCCTTGTTGGATCACTGATGTCAGTTTGTGTTTGACCAGAGACTAAAGACTCAGTTAGCCCCATGGTTGCTTTTCAGGGTAAGAAGCAGTGCAGGTGTGAAATCACCCACATCTTTTTTCTTTTTAAACCCTGGGTTTGGCTTTAAAAATCAACTGGCAGACAAAAAAAAAAAAAGTCTACTTCATTGCATTCCTCTTTATATTTCTATATTGGGTGTACATTGCTTTGTTTAGTAAGAACAAAAACAGTCCGGAATTGCCATTTTAGAAACTTCTTTGAAAATTAGAATTTTGGAATACAGATAAACCAGATGGAAGGAGGAGAAAATTGGCTTTGCAGAAAAGATTTTACAAGCTGATATTTCATCTTTGCTTTTTTCCCCAAAATGCTAATGAGATGATTTGTGATTCCGCCCAAATCTTCTTTACAGTTTATTTTTAACAAGCTTTCCTTTATTAAAAATATCTGAGCAGAAGCGAGTATTTCCATTGCCTCCTTTTGTTCCATGGCTGAGTGAGGTGACTTTCTAAAAGTCACCTCAAAATTTCCTTGGGATGACATATCATCATTCTTGTAAAATTTTTGGTGAGATAATTCTTTTCCAGTGCATCAGTCTTTTTAAAGTAATTGCTAGATTTGCAAAAGTTTTCTTATTCTGGAGCAGTCAGCCCTGTTGCCGTGTTATATACTTGGTAGCCTATTCAACTTCAAAATATTTTATATAAGCAACAACGTTTTTGTAGTTTTATAGTAAGGGAAGGGAGGGAAATCTACTGATTAGAGAAAGTAAACAGGGGTCTGGACCCCTGGGTTATATCTTCAGTTCCCTGTTGCATTGAGTTTTGACATTATGCAAATCTTCTGAACTCCCCGTGACTCAGTTGTGCGACTGGGGAAACCGGTGCTAACTCTCTTAGAGAATACAAGTAATCAAGAACCTCTGAAGCAAAGGTTTAGTTTAGTTCCAAGCATAATTACATTGCAGTGGAAACCTAAACCCTCAGTTTCCCAGTGTGTGGTTCAAGAAATATCAAGAGTATTAGCTGTAATTGGGTCCTTTTGATATACTTGCAAGTGAAAAGCAATGAAACAGTTTGTTCACTTAAAAAAATAATCATACCATATGTGAAATGCATTGCAAAGGGGAACCTGAAATTACTGCTAACAGCCAGGGCACAGGGACTGTCTACACCAGAGGAGGAAAGGTGTGATGTGGGCCACTGCCTCTGGGACCTGAGCCAAGTGAGACTGCCCTGTGCAGCTGCTGTGCGATGCAAGATCCTTCTGGATAAAGGGCCACAAAAAAATTCAGAGGGCTGGAGCACCTCTCCTATGCAGACGGGCTGAGAGAGTTGGGGTTGTTCAGCCTGGAGAAGAGAAGGCTCTGGGGAGACCTTATAGCAGCCTTTCAGTACTTAAAGGGGGCTTACAAGAAAAATGGGGACAAACTTTTTAGCAGGGCCTGTTGTGATAGGACAAGGGGTGATGGCTTTAAACTAAAAGAAGGTATATTCAGACTCGATCTAAGGATGAGGATGGTGAAACACTGGCACAGGTTGCCCAGGGAGGTGGTAGACACCCCATCGCTGGAAGCATTCAAGGTCAGGCTGGATGGGGCTCTGAGCAACCTGATCGAGTTGAAGATGTCCCTGCTTATTGCAGGGGGGGGTTGGATTAGGTGACCTTTAGCGGTCCCTTCCAACCCAAACCAGTCTGTGATAAACAGGTTGGCTGCAGCTGCCTTTTCCACAACCCTTTGGGACGAGGCTAGCTCAGAGCTCTGCCTCCTGAGCATCAAACTGAGCCCAAGCCACTTCCCCTTGACCCGACCATACTTGTGACTTTTCCACAGCAGCAAAAACCAGCCTCACGAGCACTGTAGACCATACCTTAGAACAACCCCAAACCCACCCTGCCGTTGTCATTTTCCATTAGAGAAAGGTCTGATCCTTTGTATTCTGAAGCAGTTTTCATTTGTGTTTTCTCATTAATGAAAAATTGAGGAATGTTTCCATCCTTGACCCCCAACAGCTCTTCTTCTCACGCTGCGAGCTCAGTTACAGAAGCCTCTTCACTGCAGCGCTCAATTACTGAAAGGTCAGATAGGTCCCTTGAGGTTTGACTGTAGACCCAGGTCAATGCTTACCGCCCAGCGCTGCTGAGCTCTCTCCCAGTCCTGCCCAGCTGAGCCTCCGAGCCAGCAAGCTGCACAGAAATCCACATGGCTTTCCATAAGCACGGAAAACAGCCCCTGAACTCCGAGTACAAACCTCATCAGCCCTCCAGACCTTTTCCCAGCCCTGTTTGCAAACATCATGAAATGCCCTTGGCCTCTTTCTCCATCTGTCAAGGGGGGGCTGTGTACCACGCTCACAAGGATGTGCACAAAGCCCTTTGAAGATGAAGAGTGCTCTAGAAGTCCTAATTATTTGGAGCAAGCGCCTCATTTACGTGCTGACTTTCCTTTCTCTCTCAGGGGCTTAAAACTCTATTAGGGAACTAAAACTGTACATTACCCCTAATGCCCCTTTGAGCCTTGTCTGCAAAATGACTGTCATATTTGGCTCCTCTGGATTCCATTTTGGGAAGACAAGAGGGAGATTAGATTTTAAATGCCTTTATTAGCATGTATGGAAGACAAGCATGGGGGGGATAAAAGGGGCCTGATTGGTTTTGGTACCAGTTACCCAGCAGCTGAATGGAGCTGTGGCAGAAAACACGATTTTTAGATTGCATTTGTCTCAAGTGATAAACGGTGCCGAGTCATTTGTCAAATACAGCATATTCCTGACCTAACGAGCTGCTCACCACCACCTGGCACTGCTGGGAAGTCTTACCAGGCTTTTTTAATACTGTGCCCTCTTTTGCATAGCCCCATGCATGCTGCATACAGCTCTCTTCTAAAATTGCTCTTAGGACAATCATAGGAAGTGAATGGCTTGTCATTTTAATGCCAAAACCCTAATTAACTGTAATTCATGTTTAGTTTGTGCCAGTTCGTTGTTACTGTCGCTCTTGCTTCCTGGGGGATGCAGCGCAGAGTCAGGAGAGGAGCTGCAGCCCGGTCCTTGCAGCCTCCAGACCGCTGCGTCGGAGGGCTCCGGCTGGCGAGGAGCGGGGAGGGACGGGAGGGATGGGAGGGGGCTCAGTGTGCCCTGAGCTGTACCCAGAGCAGCAGGGGTGCTGTGTCACAGCGCAGCAGGTCCTGAGGCTGACCAGCACAGCCCTGACGCCAGTGTAATACTAGCCGGAGGTCTGCATTAACTAGGCTAACTGGAACAGTCCCAGGAGTTACACATTACCTGGGGATCGACACACTAAAATACTTCCCAATAGAAATTCTCCCTCCCCTGTCTCATATCACATCAGGGCTGGTTGGAGGGTGTAAAAGTCTGCTGTGTTGTAGAGCACCCCAAAGTCAAGGACAGTCTTGCGCCTTTCCTTGTGGCTTTGCAGTGGGCTGTACAACTGGCCCTGGTTACCGAGAAGGGCTTGCTCTTTGGCAGCATAGGGATGGCAGCCCTGGAGGGAGGGAGTTCTGGCCGAGCAGATATTCCCAACCGCCTTTGCCTCAAACAGGAGAACCCAGAAGTCTTGTTAGACAGGAGAAAACAGGGCCGTGTGGTTTGTTAGAAATTTTCAAGTGGTGGTGGTGGTAGTAGTAGTAGTAGTAATCATAATTAGTAATGATAATAATAAAATTTGACATAAAAAGGAAATTTATTTGATTTTTCATAAATCAGAAACGTCAGTTCAGGTTGAAGAAAACCTTAATTTTGTTCTTTCACTCTGATGGTGTCAAAATAAGGCTCTTCCTCCTACCAGAAAAAAAACTACCTACAATTCAAGCACTATTACTCTTTAAACTGAGAGAAACTTCTAAAACATAGTGGAAACTTTTGACAGAATAAAAATAGCAAATTGGTAAAGCTTTTTTCCTGGACTTTTTATAAGAGGGAAGTAGCTCAATCATTCTCAGTCTGGGAAACTGAAGGACTATTTAAATCTAACCAGCAAAGCAAACCAGCGAGGCCAGCGCTCTGTCCTGCAGTGATCAGCCCCGCTAACGACGTGCCCTCCGCTTGGGCTGATGAGCAGCAGCACCTCCCACGGCGCGCTCCCCGCGAGGCCAGCGCTCAGGGCTGTGAACCCACCAGCTGCTGAGCACTAGACAATTGTCTTTTCTCTTCTGCAGGGTAAGCTTCTTTCTGTAGGCTTTTATTTCTTCTTTTCCTTTTAAAGCAGGCTGCTGTTCTTCCTTCACTGTTCAGCCAGGGAAAGCCTTCCCTCCCCGGGCCTGATGCTTTTCACATCGCTGAGGCTAATTGACAGTAGGTTTAACACAGATCTTAATTGTAACTACAAGTGCTTTGGGAGTGGAAAGAGCAGCCAGACCTTACAGCCTTTAAAACGCTCCTCAGGTAAAAAAAGGTCTTTATAGAAGCCTTTCCATATGTAAAATAGCATAAAGGAGAGAAGCAGGGATGTAAGAAGCAGGAGGACAGACAGTCCCCCGAACGCAGGCAGCCTCCGCAGTCTGTCAGAGTGGGACCACCTACACATCTCTCTGCCTTTAACAGACTAACCAGCCTGGCGTGGCGCTGGCCTCTCTGGCTCTCCC